TGCGTATAAAAGATATCATATCAAATTGGAAAGGAAGAATAGACTATAAAAATGTTGGCTGCTTCCTACAAGTCTCACTTCAGTATCGTGTCCTGAGGAACAAGAATATAAGAAACGATTTCAAATACCGTATATAAGTGTAAAAATAACAAACATGATTTAACACATAGATAAGAAATTAACTAAGAAATAAATCTCACATTACTATTACTGACAAAGTAAGAGACTCGGATTTAAATGAGTGTAAAACTGATATCTGATATGAGATATTCAAAAACATTTGCATATCTGAAATTAACTGTAAGCTTTTAAATTCATAGAAGTATCTTATCCTATATTGCCTTACGATAATTAGTTAAAACAATGTCTTCTAAACAATAAATAGTTAGTGCCTGATAACACTGATATAGAGGAGTGAATAACTATTGCTAATACTGAGCTTGGCTTTTAAAAATTAGGCTATTTGGAAATATTTGCCACCGGAAATACTGACGTATAAAAATAACAATTACATTTTGAAATCCTACATTCTTAAGTAATTAAGTTTACATATATTTTATATATACTTCCTTTAATCTTGAAACATATCTCACTATTTAATTTAAATTTTCACAAAAATATTGAAATGTAATATAACGAAAACATATCTTTAAAACGGTATAAAAATATTTTAGGCCTATTCTCCTTCGGCATACACAATCTAAAGACTAGGTCAAACAAATATATAGAAAGGAATGAAATTCATTTATTGACAGTTATTTTAATTGTCGCTGTTTGTTTAAATAGTGATTTTTCAGATGCCTTCTTACAAACATTAAATCAAAACTGTAGATTTTCTGAATTAACAGGGGTGGAACTGTAAATTAAATTCGGCATTTAAACATAAGAATCTTAAAGTGATTTTAACAGACAATAGATTACACATATCTTCAGAGGAAACGATTTAGTAACAAAATAAACGTGTTGTAACACTTTGCAGATTTTTTCACAAATTGTGTTATAAAATGTAATTAGGAAATAAGTTCTGTATTCAGTAATTGGAAAGAAGTAACGATGTATAAATGTGATTAAGACTTTGTATTTATGTGTGTAGTAGAAGAACGGTTCTGTGTAAAGGGGAACAAGAATAACTGAGGTTTTGTTTTAGTGTTATAACTAAACAGGGACTTGATGTGAAAACATTAATTTTCAGTGTTAAAGTCCTGGTTATGACTAATACTTTTCGATGATAACAACGGACATATAGTAGGAAGATAACTAGACCAAGTGCTTCTAAAGAGTGTTAGTTGTATATCTGTGTAGACAATTTCCATTAACAGACGCTGAAATCAGTGCTGCTTTGCGTGTCGTTCTGCTGTGCAAGAATAAATTACACCTTATACATATCACTACGAAGGTAAGTTATTTTCTCTTTTCTTGCAAACATCACTAGTTGTATATCCACTTATCATGAATGTATAGAAATGAAACATATTTTCAGCTTTGTGATACTAATATTATTTCGAAGTTTCGAGCTGAGCTGCTTCCTACATTCTGTACTGTATTGGAACCGAAAGATTTATTATTTTAAAAATAGTAACACACATAATTTACGTTTGTTATTTAAAATAAATCTGTTTAATCTCGTAGTTCATGGTCTTAGAACTTACTTCATTATGCTTCGTTTAAATATTACCCTGTGTATGTGCGTGTGGATTATAAAAATATGAAATTACTACTTGTAAGTCCCGATTTGGTTCTACATTAACGTATTAAATAAGTATTCCAAATTCTAAACACAGTATTTGTTAGGAATCTATGCAGTAAATGAAAATTAACGTGCTTGTAACAGCGTTTTAAGGTTTGTTCGTGTAATTAACTTTCCTGATAACCGACTTTCAACTAAGCGATACTGCCCGCACATTTTAAATAGTTTATGATTAGTTTTGGAAGTTGTAATTTTATTTGGCCATTAGGTTCTTATGAAGGCGGATGTTGCAGTCAAATCTGCCTACAGTAGATCAAATGGGCAAATAAACGTTAACTATAAACTACTAGCCTGTTTAATTTTGTTTTTAATGTCTTGTTTTGTTCTTCTGTTTTCAGCCTTTCAAGTTGAACTTTAATTCTCCGAGGTTTCCAAGTGCCAACTATTCTCTTGTCGTAAGTGGTGCACTATACTATTAACAATTGTTCATTATTGAAACTTAAAATGATAAAAAAATGTAAGAAGTAATTAATACGCATTGTTATCTTTTAGCTATAAACTAAAGCACTGTCTGCTGCTTGCCTCGCTTCCAAATATTTACTTGCAAAATCAGTACAATGAATAAAATATATTAAACAGTTAACAAATGAAAACATTGTATTTCCGCTACAGCTGCTGTTTATGGGACTTCTATCAGTAGTAATAATAACAGAAAATGCTTCCTTGGTCAATCTGCAAAAATTTTACCTTCCTGCTTGAATTACGTAAAGCTTTATTCTGTTTGAATTAAATAATTTACCTATATTTTACACAAATCCAGAAAATGTGTCTTGTGGTTTAAAATTTGTGCCAGCTGCAATCAGAAATGCATTCATATAGTTAGGTACTCTCACATTCTTTTCAATTTGATCGGCGTAGTTCAATGTTTCGGTCATCGTCACCAGATTTTGTTAGCGTGCACATTTAAATCTTTTATTTTACAAACAAAAATGCTTATTCAAAATTATTAGTTGTCTCTGGTACTCACACAAAGAAAATGTAAGTGGCAAGGTACAATTTTTGACGCAGTGCTGTGTAATTGTTTTAGTGAGAGCTTTGCTTTCAAAAGACGTAATTTATATAAAATTATATACAACCAAGATATGTACAAGTAAACATATTAACGATTGAACGGAAGGAAGGAAATGATGTCATTAAATTTTATATTCCTTTAATTATTTGGCGTAGTTAATAGAACAAGGAAATGAAATAGGCCCATTACAGATTATATCGATTGTGAAAACACGTGTGTTATTTCGCGTTCCAGTTCTTACCATACAAAAAATAAAGACCTCTTGTGAGAAAGACTTGTTAAAATTACGCGTTTTAAATTTTTAAAGTCGTCAATTAGTCGTTATAGTAAAACAGTTGATTGTCTAAATGATACCCTGTTTTGTAGTCGTAAGACATTGGCTCTGTTCCTGCCGCGTCATATAACTGGACACCATGATTAACAGTTCCTTCCACGAGCTAACGCTATGTCAATTATGCACCTGTAATATTTTTCAACCAAGCTTAATGACGTCATTTCTTGCAAACCTGTCTTCTGCAAATTAACTAATCATATCTTTGTACATACTGAATGTTTGTGTTTTCATTTGTACATAATAGTAACAGTATCCTGAGTTATTAATAAAGGCGTGGTAGATACCACCGTACTGAATCATCATTCTAATGAAAATATAAATTAAAACCAGTGTACATTTTGTAATACTCATAGATTTCGTAATTTAAAGAAACAGTTCACTAATTATGTAAGGCTAAAATAATCATGTGTTATTTAATGTGTAAAAATTGTATAGCATGGCGTGCATGTTTTATTAATGACTGGAGGAATATGAAGACAGAATGATGTGAAAATGTTTGTAAAATAATATAAGCTTATAAGGCCTTTTGGAATAATAATGCTCCTTTTTGCACAGCAAAACAAAAATGGATTAGCTGTAGGCTAGTATTATCATAATCAAATTATATTCGGATTCCGAGAGCACAGAGAATTTATTGACGTTTCATTTCTCTCTGTACTTACAACGTTCAGTCTCACTTTGTAAAATTATTACATTGTAATCCCTGAACCTCAAAGCGACAACTTACAAAACAATAGTCACCTATTTTCAAGCTCATATGGTTCTGAATAACCACCAGTTTTTCGTATGGCGATGCAGTGTAATGTATTTGAAAGAAAACTATTGTGACTTTTTCTTTCTAAGCGTATTCCAAACGTTTTGTAACATGACAGTGTGTAATTAACACTTAATAATCATATGTGGTGTTTGTGTAACTTCGAAAATATTTTTATTGTTTTATATGATTAAGGGAATGTCGCTTCACGTAACGTGGCTCGAAGTCGATGAACAAAATATGTTCGTGATGTTGGTAATACTAATCGGGAAATGGTTCAAGATATGACAAAATCACGAGCCATCAGCAAAAGCAGTCCCTATAAATATTACATTACAAAAATATATTTCTCTGAATAAATTAGTATTATTGTGTTATTGCAATTCAGGAAAATTTCTCGGTGAACTTCAGATTTATTACAGCTATTTGTCCAAACACCATTGAAAACTGAACGTTTTGAACGGTGTCACTAAATGTGATCTATAGAATAAAATTTGACGTCAAACATTTCACCACTGTCACACCTGTTTTCTTCAGATTTTGTTCCGTCATTTTAGAATAAAACAAACTTTTTATTAATTTCATATTTGTAATTGTATTCATTGTTTTCAAGAAATTAAATTGCGCAATTTGCGACTTATGTGATGAGAGCCCAATAAAGACAGTCCGTTTCGTAAAGTACCGTTACTCCAAGCGTCCTGTCTTCTGAACATTCTGTTCATTGCAATTGCGTCTTTTAGTTTCAATTGTAAACACACTAAATTATATGTATGCCAGTCAATCCTTTAATACACAGTGGTATCTATATGTACCATCTACATTAACACACAGTACCTCTACATTTTGCCCACAGAATGTATTTGTGGGTTTATTATGATTATCAGAATAAACATGCAATTATTTCCGTAAAAAAATATTAAACATTGATTTCATAACGATGAATTCTGTACTCGTAATTAACAGTAATTTTTAAAGTACTACTTAGATGCTTCAGATTCTTACATTGAATGATAATGCTTGTAATATTCAATGCATAATCAGACAGAAATAGAAACTTTAAGTGACTGTCTGGTATTTATAATTGGCCATAACGTAATTAACCAAATGCCGTATTCTAATACAGATCACTTAGCATGTATATTAATGCACTTACTAACTTTATTACAAATGCCGAGAGGAATCAAATCTCTCAAAGCCAGAACCAATTAAAGTTTTGCATGGGCTGTAAGAGACACATTTCAATCGGCCGAAAATGTGTAAAAATATTAATAAATTTATCTCAAGTGATTCAGTTGTAAATAAATATTAATATTAGGTCCTCATTTGAATATTGCCTTCGATGGTACTTTTGGATGTAACTTTGTGTTGTGCAAGATAATTTTTATACTTCCTAAAGTGAAAGAATTCTGACTGGTAATACAGTTTCTGTTTAGGCATCGTAAGTAAATGCACTCAAAATCATTACTTGTTTGCCGAGGCACTTTGTAAAATCCTCTTCTTGCAATAAAATATTCACTTCATTGTTTTATAGCTACGTGTCACAAAGCTACTATGGTAATTTTCATATGTTCTGTCGATATTAATATTTATACCTTTTATTAACCTATAATTCTTATTTAATGTACATTTTAACACTTAAAATAAATCTCTAAAAGTGTTTCATGACGTCAGATCGCATAGTATTGCCGTACATTTTAACGAGAAGCCATCAAAATATAAGTAATTCCTAACATAGAGCCTGAAGATAATTTTGAATTAATTTCTCACTCAGCAACATAATGCAGTGTACTCATAGCCCATATGAGCGCCACGTCAAGAATTAGGAATTGAACTTAGCAAAAAGATGACAACCTTCCGTGATTTTGCGCCGTGTAGTCTCGTAGAAATCGGCCGACGTTTCAGAGGTTCTTACTGCCTTTATTATATTATTAGCTCCCTGATAATGGCGGCAACAAGCACATCTAGATCGTCGTTTATTTCCTACGAGGCAATACTGCGCAACACCCCAGAAAGCAGTCACCTTTGTTCTTACTGCCGTGAGAACCTAAAATCTTACCATCAAATTCCTAGAACATTTATAACAAACAGCAAATCCTCTGGGGCATTCACACCCCACGGAACTTGTATATTTTCTATAGGAAATTCGATTATTTCGAAAGATTTTAATATTTTTCCATAACTCTACAAAATACATCCAAATTCAGTTGACTTTTGTTTCCGAATCTGAACAAATAAACGGCATCACAAATTATTTTACATTATCAAGTTCAGTAGCCAGACTGTAAAATGCAACTTCTGTAGCTCATTTTAACCGTAAAGCCTAAATATACGTTGACGTCTATTTAGTGAAAACGCACTTTTCCCTAATAATAACCTATAAGCGCTAGTTATTGTTAGTACTAGGCCTATTATTACATTTAAATTACATTTTAATCTTATAAATCTACGCTTACTCATTTTCAGTGCCAGACAATTTAATTTCGTCAATATTGATACCTAATAATGAATATAGATTTTATTGTTATGTATATATTATCTATCTTAGAATTCGCCCAATTTAATTTCAATATAAAAATTTGAAGTTTTAATTTCAAATGCAACTCATTAATGGAAACAATTCCTGGTTGCTTGGTAACAGAGCTTTAAATAAATAAATAAATAAAGTACATTGCTGTGCTACTTCGCACGAGAGTCATACCTTAACACTTCGTTAACTTTCCTACGCGTGTTTTCATTTGCCTGTTGTATACGGCATATTCCATGTTCTACCTCAAGTGATTAACACCAGATGGATACGCTATACTGTGCATCACTTGACAGATGTTAATATCACGGATCTTGTGTGTTAAGTTTCACTAACTTATATGTGATTCATCACCTGCAATTTAATTACTTTATGGCATTTGGTTTTTGCTCATGACATAATGTGAAAAAAATACAATTAGAACAGAGTCAAATTAGATGAAATGGATCTAGAGGCATTAGTCTAACGTTAACTTCGATAAATAGCTCTTTTGTCCACAAACCTCCGTAATGTTTTACGAAAATTCTTTAGCTACATTCTTCTTAGAAGTGAAAAGATCTGAATGTGAATCTTTAAACTGTCTTGGTGCGTCAGTCTTCGTTTGTAAGAAGTATGGAATATATACCGGATAAAGGAGAACAGGCATTTGACATGGAGGATTGAATAATAAATTGGAGTAGATAAAGCTTTGGTGATAAGGCAACGTTGTTGTTTAAGGGTTTGTGGTCAGATGTCGAAGGCAAGAGTGGCTTAAGTCAATTGTTTGAATATTTTCATACATACATCAAAGCAATAACAGGCCAAATACAAGTGTGTAACTATGAAAAGATTTCAGCTGGAATGGAAACAAATTAACTGCTGCAAAAAAAATTGTTTTCCCCATGTTTACATAAATACCAATTATAAATGTTATACAATTATGTAATTGAAGCACAGATGATAAAGGGATGCGTCATTTTTAAACTTGTTATTCTCTTTCAGGACGAAGTCATTTAATAATTCTGACAATGACTTAGTCACTTTTGTTTCCAATTTACTAGTTTTAAAATTTCAATGGTTGTTAACATTTTTGTCAAAAATAGGACAGAATGGACAGGATGAAGCTGAAAATAGGTTAAATTATCCATTTTTAGAATATATGCCTCTCTTACTTAAATTACAGGGTAAACAATTAGTTATAATGTTTAGAAACCTGTATGTAGAACATGAGTTACTTTTGTTTGTTTAGTGCACAACTGCAAAATAAGGAGATCTGTGTATTTAGTTAATTAAGATCACATTTTAAAGACAAATGTATATTTCGAAAGAAGTTCTGTCAAAATTACAAAACGCATCGAAACAGCAGTATAAAAACTGAATTACTTTTTTATCATGACATAATGAATTACTTCAGCCATTGCAGTCGTAATATGCTTATGCACATTCTGATTTTAAATAAGTAGATTAATAAATATTGTATTGTAAACCCCGTTGTTGCTAATGGAATTCGTTGTTTAAATACAAACATACTTCACATACATTTTTAGTGTTAGTTCATTTATCTTATGAAAGTAAAGTAGACATAAGTCCAAAATCCCAACACGTTTGTTCAATATGTTTTGTTTAACACGGTTCCGCAAAAGCAGGCGGACGAAAGAATTATTACTGTAAAGGAGATAAAAGATACATTTCATTGAAGTACATCTTCATCATGAATTCTATGGAATGTTCATTTATTTATGGACCTAGTACTAATTTGTTGCAGATACAGATTAATTTTCTTCCGTCTTACCAATCTTGAACTCTGAAACAAAAATGAGCCCCTCAATACAACGTACAAGCTACAGCCATTATATTAGGTTAGTGACAAAGGCGTTCAAGAATATATACGTGCATTATATATAACTTACATTTAATTACAACTTTTAAGTATAATTTTGAAGCCAAAAGCATCATAAATTATATTTAATTAGCTCATTTTACAATTTATAAAGACATTAAAATTTCCTTCCCCTTCTGTATTTTCACTATTTAATTCTTTGCAGTAAGATTGATCTGGTACATAACCAAGTATTTGTTATTTTGTTCAGTTTAAATAATATAAAATACACGGCAATGATTACAATGTTGGTGAATTGTTCATATTTATTAGTTAATAAGTGTTTGGTATTTAAGATAAAGTTATTTTAGCAGAATTTGTGTTCCTGGCGGCGGTGAATATAAAGATGGCTGTCTTATGAATACAGCCATATTCATAAGTATTTTAGCGTAAAATTATTTTAATTCCTTACGTTTGACTGCGAATTAGACTTTTATATTCGATCTTATTGCAAAACACATTCGGGAGAAATGAAATAGTAGAAGGTAAAAAGGTAATGTCCTGGTGCTTAATAAACAGAGGGTCATATAAATGTATGGAGGTCAGTGCTAGCTTCGCGTCCTGTCTGCTTGCCTCCGGGAAAATAGAGCCACTGATATCGTTGCATAGCAGACAGGGTGGGCCCCAAAGCCGATGTAAAACGCGGTAGATAGAATAAAGCGTTTTTCCTTCTGGTATTTGAAACGTGGTTGTCCAACCAGTGGTCTAGCCACTACAATAGGTGATAAGTGAAAATTGGAAACCAGAATTAAATGTCGAATTTTTCATTGTTTTCTTACTTAAACGTCAAAATTGTGATGCGTAAGCCGGTAAAAATTTAATAATACATGGAGCTGTTATCTTCAAATGGAATGACAGTAAAAATCGATCTCTTTGTTAACAACTCCGATGATCATGGCGTCCAACGTGACAGCGCTGGATAATCGTACGTTTAGAACATAAAAACTGTAATTGAATACGTGACAGAACAGTGATTGCTTGGATTTGAGTCGCAACATATCCAGCTTTGGCTCACATATTACAGAGTTTAGGTACATAACCGAATTGCGAGATGAACAATAAAAAACACTGAATTGATTTATATATCTCGCCGATAGCGGTGACTCAGCACCGTTTGGGAAGCGTGCACACAGGTCGTAGGTTCGAAGTCCTCTCGGGACCTGTATTACACAAACGTCATGGTGTAATGACTAATGACTGGCTTCATTATCAGGAGAACGAGATTTATCATGGCATTCTAGTCTCGGAGTATTATTATAAAATAGTTCATGAACGCTTTCATTTTCATAATTTACTACTTAACAATCACAATATTCTTAACATCGACTAGACTTTATAATCAGCTTCCTCTGCTGTGAAATATTTTATTAACCTCAAATGTTTCGATCACATATTTTGTATCGACAAAGTCGACATAGCTAAATATCACACTTAAAGATATTTTATAGGGCCTGTATGCATGTATATAATTACCAGATTATTCAAATGTGATTTAATTGTTGTATTGCACTAAACTGTAAAGCTGATAGTTCTGCTTTCGCTCTTAACCTACTTACATTGAACTGATTTAAAGTTGTTTCAAACACTTCTTCTAGTCTCATTTTGTTTCATGTCCATCTTATTTTAATAAAATGATAAAATGTGAGTCTTTGTCCAGTCTTATACATATATTTATATGTATTAATAATATAAACTTCCTTCCGTTACATACAAACTACATTCATGCCTCGTTTTTTTTCGTGTGTATAAACTCCTTCAAAAACGTGATTTAGAGCTACGCTAAAGAATATATGTACCCTTTTGAGAAATATAATAGTCAATCATAATTTATAAATTTAGACCCCTTCAAAGCAAGCTTAAATATTAAAAAGATATATCCTTGAAAATACCAAGTACAAAAGTAACAAGGACTATTATGTGCAAGCTAATGCATTTCTTAGTGTATGGGCCTAGGAAAATTTTTTGTTTTCTCGCACAAAACTAAGGAAACACAGCTTACGCTGATAGTTACCTTTCCAGTGAAACTCAGTAAGCACCAAGCCCCGGATATCACACCTAGGAACACATCACGTGACTTGCGGATTGTAATTCTGCTCCTATCCATTCCCTGACGTGCATAGAATCTGTATATTCCATCTAGGCTTTACTAGATAGCTGGCTGCAATAAACAGTATCAAGGACGTGACATGAATTCGACATATTTCTCTGTCTTCAATCCGCAAATCACCAAGTTATATACCGAAAAGACGAACGTTATCTAAGAAGTATAGTACGCTGAGAGTTGATCATTCATAAGCCTGTTTCTTAGTTTACATAACTAATCCCACAGAACAGAGTTCTCTCTAAGTAGATAGTATTTGCTCAGCCACCCGACGAAATCCTTTCTAACTCCTTTACGTAAGCGGCATATTTAGTACATTGTTCACATTAATCCGCCACTGGACCTTGTCTTGAGATACTACCCAAATCCAGTCCACATTCTTACGCGATGTTAATTTTAAGATCCATTTTAATCATATGTTGATATCAACACCGGCAAAAAGTATGCATTTCCCAGTGTCCAACGCGTCATACATGCCCAATTTAGCAACTTACTCCATGGAGTGAATGTTATTTGCTTCAAATATGTATCAAATATAGCAGTCATATTATTACTTTTCAGCACTTACAGAGAGCCACCTAAAGACGGAGAATTAAGGTTGAAATTTGCATTGGATATTAATAGACATTGAGACAAATTAAAAATTGTTTTGTAGACGGACTGTCAACATAACGGATATTAAGATGAATCTTTCTGAGAAATAGGATGCGAGGATATGGATTTGATTCAACATTGTTTTTGTTTAATCATGTGTGTTTTAACTAAATGCAACGAAAATTATTTAATCTTTGTGTAGTTATATACCCCCATGTTTAATTACTCTTGTGACTGGAATCAGGTTAGTATATTTACTGTTGATTATCTCTCTCAATTAACAGATGTGAGTAGAGTAAATGAACGTCATAATCAGTGAGGATTCAAAATCACAAATAACGCATCTGTAAAATGTGTGTGCTCCAAATTGAAGTTCATATTTCCACTCTACCAGTAATCTCAACAGTTCATTAGCTTTATTAATAATCTAATTTATGACTCTATACATGCTAATACCCATGTTAATAATCTATGTTAACAGTAAATTTGTATTAACAGTAAATGGATTTCAGTGTCAAAGAGCAACGAGAAATCGCAGGCCCTGTTCTATGCAGTTATATAATGTGCCCTCTTTTTAATAAGTGACCTGCTTTCATTCAGAAGTGTTTTTGAAGAACGGTTTTTAGAGCGTTCGACCTGTCCAATTTATTTATTGCATTAATGTAAGTTTTAAACACTCATCTAATACCGCTCAAGAAGTGCCTGAATATTTTCAGCAGTATATTATGATAGTAACTCCTATTTGGAAATTATTGAGAGTAGCATGACATTTTAAAAGCATTATCATAACAGATGATTTCCTCTCCATGAAAAATGTCCAAGTTATGAATATTCACTAACCTCGGTTGTCATTTCTTATTTTGAAACTGTTTCGGTGATATGGAAACCACATTTTTATTATATTAACTATTTTAAATGCGAATACATGTCCGTTTTTTCTAATGCCAAGGCCTATTTTCAACCAACAAAATTCTCTCACATGTGTGCTGCTTAATTCCTGGCAATGTCTGAGAGAATTTACTTTGAAAATTTGTATTATCGGATAAGAGATATACAATGTTTATAAACGTTTAGAACCATTCCTTATATACAGAATAAAACTACGCGTACATGTTTTGGTATATGTCTTATGGATACAGCTTTCTACACTTTCAAATCACTAAATTTATTTTGTTACTATTTATATCCTTATTATTAGTTTCTAACCGTTACAAAATTGTGATACGACTATAGAAATATTTGTTTCAGAGAGTAAAGAATGAATCACATCTGTAACTTGGTTTAAAATATAATGGTATCGTCATATGCATAACTTTTAGATTTCGAATGGGACAAGGAAAATACACATTTCCCGTTGGATAGGAGAATAATAGACCCAAATATCATTCAATTTTCTTCACATTTTAGCAGCGGCAATAAGGCTATATTAGCCGTTTATACGATGCATTTATCACTGGAGGGACACGGCGAGTGAAAAGTCTTAGTGAAGTTTTCAATTGTAGAAAGCTCGGTCATGTCCCCTCATCCCTTCCTTCCCTCTTCAAATCTATAAATTTCCAAAGTGAACAAAGAAGAGCCATCAACCATAAGATTTAATAGAAGTAATAATAATCTAACGTAGGTGGGCGATAAGTTCGAAGAAGGCAGCATCATCGGAAGTTTCTA